GATATACTCATTTTCGAATTTGTTTGTGGTGCTTCAGGGCCGTGCCCAAATTGCATGGCTACTACAGGTACATAGTAACTACTGAGGGGGGACGTGTGTGGAGAGTTGAAATTAATTACAATGAGCAAAAAAACTAGATGGGAAAGTGGTTCAGGTGAAGTAGTGGAGATAAGGAATGTGCCTGGTGTGTGTGTGATGCCACCCCTCACTGAGGCATTACAGAAGGCTTCTCATCCCTTGTCATTGAGCTGTTCTCTCCATATCTTCACACTTTGACTCCTACTTTCATCTCCCTTTCCAAAAACCCTTGCACACAACCTGCAGTTGACAGTGTGTGATGAATCACAGTTGCTGAGGCTTGAATTCATTTTCATTTTCATTGTTTTGCTTTCAACTCTTATCAGATGCTTCTATCTGAATTTACCCAGACTTCAGTCTAGACATGGGACTCAACAACTATGATCTCATTGTAGGTACAGTGTATTTAAAGCCTTGTAGTTGGAGGGGCAGACTCTAAGTCTGTTCTCTTGACCAATCAAAGGTCCTTGGAAACTGTTTTCAGTCTTCTTAAGTGTGCAACTTAAGAAGGACTCAACTCACCAGAACTCCAGTAGAGGCTCTTGCCTCATTATCAAATCCTTGCCCTTTGTGCATGATGATCAGGCTCATTGCATAGACCTGTGTAGGCTGTCCATCATAGGCTTGACTTGTTCTGTTGACACATGCAGAAAGACCTATGTGCAACACAGTGAGTTGTAGTGAGTGTCGAAGGGCCTTATGTACTTGAACACACAAGAGGTGGGGTAAAATGTTCTTCTATATGAACTCTTTTGTTTCCAGCATCTTGGCTCCAACATCTTGACACCGGCATCCTGGCTCAACAACGATCTTATCTCCTTTCAGCTGATATGGGTGCAACCAGATTGTCCTTTGTTATCATGATAATACTATCCTGAACTTGTAATCATCCAACTCTTCCAACTTCCTCCTCCCACAACACCTAACTTTCACATTCATGACATCTGGATTCTTCTATGGGACCCTGATGCACCCTAAGATCCTGAAGCGAGTGCTCAATAATGATGCCAGCCACCTAAGCATTTGTCCCGCCATCCTGACGGTCGGTCTATTCTAGCCAGGCGCGATCGCTGAGTAGGACGCGTCTGACGTAGTGTTCGAACATCACAGGGCTATACGAGGCATAAAATCAAAGTATGTCTGCACTCGCTGCATCTCGCCTCTCATTTTTTCATTTTCTTCGTTTTCGTTTTACTGATCCAGGCGACCTACATCAGATCGCAGATTACCCCGCTATCCTACCATATGAGCGGAGCAGGAAATTGTTCGAGCGCGAGCTTACGCCAGAGGATAAGAGCGTCCGTGGAACGCTAGTAAACGGTCTTACCAATAGGGATGTCGCGCTTCTCGACATATTTGAAGGAAATGCACGTATTCCTAGTCATATTATCTCTCCCTCTCCTTCTCTTCTTTTTATGAACTGTTTTGACAAGCTAAATTTACTTATTTCGTTGCTCAACGTTTTTGGGAACAGGAATATATACGCTCGGGGGTGTTTGTTCACCCTCTCAGCCCATTTACGCCCGTTCCAGCCGACGCCGAGACGTCTGATGCAATAGAGGGCAATCTCATTCCGGCAGACCTTCCCCCGCTTCCATCTGCCAACGAGTTAGCGCATACCATTCCCGCACAGACATACGTCTGGTGTCAGGATGATGACGATCTGGACAAGGAGCTCTGGTCTTTCGAAGAGTTCGTTAGGAACAATGCGTGGAAATGGATTGACGAAGGCAAGAAGGATGAAGAGCATTATGGGGAAGTTGACAGGGTGCAAGAAAGGCTCCGCGGGGAGATTATCCCGGATAGAATCTAGATTTATGAGAGCTGAGAGCCGCTGTCGAGACATACTCTGAACATGCGTTGTTAGAGTAGGACAGAATCTGGTGGTGGGTAGTACTACAATCATTCCTTGTACAAGGCACACAACTCCGTTGGAATAGAGGATACTCTAGAATTCGCCAAACTTGATATGGCCCGTCTCAGACGCGTGCGCACGCGCCTCTTTCTCGCCTTTAATCCCCTTCCCGCAGACCTCGTGACAACACACACATTCGAAGGTTTGTCAGTTTCCACGCTGTCTGACATGAATAACAACAAGTCTAACACACCTCGCACCTCAAATCGAACGTCGCCATATTCGTGTACGCGTGTTTTTCCCGCAGCTTGGTTGCAAGCGCCTGCAGCGCATCAAGAATACGGTCGCCTTCAGCACCGACAGCGGGCACAAGACTCGCGCAGAATTCTTGGGGCGCGTCGGGTGCGGGAGCGAGCACGGCGGCATCATAATGAACCCCAGAATAAATGAGCAGCGCGCGATTCTCCACCTCACTGTCATGGGGACCAAAGCGGTCGATACGGCCCGTCTCGACATCGACGCTCGCGATCTCGGCACCATAGTGTGCAGCGAGAATTGTGAGCTCGATGGCGCCTCCCCAGGAGTTCGGAGAGAGGATCCTGTGGATGTACTCCTCACGCGGGTGTCTATTTGAGTTGCGCGAAAGACGCGAAAGAGTAAGGATCAGCAAAGACAAGAGAGAAAAAAAATGAAATGATGGGTGGGTAGGTGGGAAATGCATTCGGTACCCTAAGACGGCGTCACTCCAGGTCTCTGGGTCCCTCTGAATCGCTTCCGCTACGGCTGCGGGAACGGGTGAGAAAAGCGGTACGCGATGAAACCCGCGGTGGCGTACTCTGCCGGATCACGGGCGCCATTTGCATGTCTTGCTCGAAGACAAGCGCGACAGAGGCAAACATACACGAGTTGTCATCCGGCACGATCTGCAAATGAACGTCCTTAGAAAAAAAATACTCCTCAGATGCCATATATCCATAATTCGCACCCGATGGACGAGATAACCGCCCCCCATCTCTATGAAATCGGGTCCATCTCTCTGTGGCGTAGAAAAAGCAGGGGCAGCCGGTCTCGGGTTAGGTGGCGGACGAGAGAGAGAAGAAGCGGGAGAGTTGACGAGGGTAGCGCGTGGGTTTGCAGACGATGGTGGCGCAGTGGGAGTGACGCTCGGAGGTGCCGCGGAGCCAGACTTTCGTACGACGATTAACTGATCACCGGGCGCCACACCAAGACTGGAGAGCGGGAGCTCCGGAATGACCGCTGTGAGGGAGCGCGGTGGGTATCCAACTTTGACTGCGACAGATATGAGAGTGTGAGTTGAGCAGGACAAGTTTGAAGCGCACGATCTTGCGCAGATGGAGGAATCCCTGATATGGATAATATGGCTTGGAGGAGATCCTGTACTTTGGCTGTCTCTATGTCAAGTTCTAAAGTTGAAACGCCTTTAGGATGTCGTAGACGAAAGAGAGCCATCTTTGCTTTCAACGTCAACGTCGATGACGATGTCAACACTTAATTCGGATCCCGGCCCGTAAGAAACCGTATTTCAAGCGTTTGCATTATCATCCACTTCCTCTTCAACCCCATCGTCCGCCTCATCACCTATGTCAAGACCAACAGTCTCACCTCCTACTACAATCGCCAAGTTCTCATCTCCATCTCCATTTTCCACCTTCACAAATCGAAGTTTGGGTCCCCAGATGAACCAATATCCAACCGAGCCAAGGATGGCGAGACCAATCCAGCGCCACCGCATGCGTTCAAATCGCTTCTCCTCTTCACTTTTTGGGGGACGTGGTTCACTCCACCAAGTGTGGAAGCTCGGATACGGCAGCAGAGCGCTCAGCCTATAACGCTCCGGTGGGTGTACGGGGACGGTGGGTGTTGCAGCGGCGAGCACGCGGCGTGCGTGCGAGAGAAGAGTAGGGTACGACGAGCTGAGCAGCGACGAAAGTAATGTATCGGGGAGCGGTGCATGAACGAGAAGCAAGATATGTGCTGCTAGCACCAGGTCCAGCGTAGTTGGCCTAGAAGACCTCAGTCCGGTGAGTGCCAGTTAGTTACTGACACCGCTTACCTATCATAAAAGAAAAAGTTCTTGTCGCCTAGCAGCCTCGAATAGAGACCAAATGCCGCACGCGACTTTTCTAAGACCTGTTTACCCGGATAAAATCAAGCTGGCTGCGCTTGAAAAACCACTTGAGTAACTCACCCGCTCGCGCTGAAATGCGCTTTTATATATCTGCTTTGGATCCTCTTTCTCTTTTTTCTCGTCAAAGCGCTTGGGGTTTTCTGCCTCAGTCTCTTCCCCGGGGTATTCCATAATCCATTGGCTTGAAGGCGTGCTTGGTGCGCCTGGCAAATACGTTTGGGAACATAGTAAGACTGTGGAACTTTGTAGAAAGACGACAGGGTGGGATGCGTGATCGCAGCATAGTTTGCTGGGATCGAGTAAAAGACATAGGCCTAAAGAAGGTAACATATTGTCAACCACTAGCACCTTGGAAGGAAAAACCAACGCACCACAAGGTCCCCGAGCGCTGATTCAGCGTGAGCGATCCAAGCTGTGCGCAGTGCACGGTCTGAAGGGTCGAGCAACACGTCAACATCAGCGGAAAACCCCGGTTCAGGCGCGTCGGGCCCGGTGACGGGGGAAATGGAGGCAGGCGTCAGAGCAGCCACATACTTCAAGATAGAGGACAGAGGGGCGACAGTGTGATGACCATGGGTGAGATACGGCAGCTGGCCTTCGAAGAACGTATCAACGTGGGGAAAACAGCCTTAAGTAACACTAACCCACCACTGGGGGACAAATCTGGGTTGGTGCATTCTTGGATTGAGAAACGTCCTGGAAGTGCAAGCTGAAGGTAGAATGCGGCTACGATACAGGAAGGTTCGATGGAGGGGAGATTCCACTTTGAGGGCCAAAGGTGTAGTGTTAGTCCCTGCGTTGAAGGGTTCATCTGGTAGTTGTTCAAAGCTGCTCCCTGAAGCTTTCAGGGCTTTCAAGGGTCAAGGAGGGATGCAAAAGCCAGGAATATAATGTAATTTGAAATGTCGAATGGTCAGGGACACTATGGCCGAGTGGTTAAGGCGACAGATTCGAATTTCGTTCGCCATCTGTTTCCCTTTGGGAGCGCAGGTTCAAATCCTGCTGGTGTCGACTTTTTTTCTATTAAATTCTGCCACGTGGTACACTTTACCCGCAAAGGAAAGGTTTTTATCTATTTACTATTTGATTGTTGTATAGATGCTATTATGATACATTACACATAGACATTAATGTGCTTCATGCATTAAAATGCCAATGTTTCCAAAATACCGTCCAGAACACGAATAGCATCCGGTATGATGAACTTTTCGTATTGCAGCCCAACAGGCGTACTGCAAAATCGTCAGAATTTTCTGTCGTGTACAGAGATAGAAGTGAATTACACTTACTCCCAACTAGTAACACGCCTCACAGGGGCGTGCAGCTTAAGGAATGCCTTGGACTGTATCTCCGCCGCGATCTCCGCGCCGACACCTGCAGTACGGCTCGCCTCGTGCACAATCACTAGCCGTCCAGTGCGCTTAACACTCTCGACCACTGTCTCTATATCCCAGGGGAGTATAGTGCGCAAATCGATGAGCTCGACCCGTGCGCCGCGCGCTGACTCTGGCACGACTGACGCGAGCGAGGCAGGCGGCTCGGAGAGTAGCGAGAGGGCCGTCTCACAGTGGAATATGGGCGTCCCCCACGTGAGCAGTGTCAGGTCGGCACCGGGCACGACAATCTCTGCACGTCCGAGTGGGAGCTCAAAGTCGTCGATCGGGACTTGTTCAATCGCGGAACGATAGAGAATCTTGGGCTCCATGAAGATGACCGGGTTAGGGTCGCGTATCGAGGCGAGCAGGAGCCCTTTGGCTTGAATGGGAGAGCGCGGGATAACGATCTATCCTGCAGTTGGGTGAGTTGTTCCAAAAGGGCTGTTATCCAGCTGACCTTTAGCCCTGAAGCGCCCATAAAGAAACCCTCTGGACTTTGTGAATGGTACAGTCCTCCATGACCAACGGACATTGTCGGTGTCCGTACCGTTAGGCCCCCAACGTTAAACTGACCACCACTGCGATACCGAAACTTCGCAGCTTCATTCACAAGCTATGATTTACTGTCCAAAGCTGTACGTTGACAATAAACGATGATAGTACGCACTTGGTCAAAAGCGGGGAATATGTAGTCAGAGAACTGGATCTCCGCGATGGCTGTTTGACCCATTGACGCAACACCGATACCAAAACCGGCGATGCCTTGCTCTGAGAGAGGGGTATTAAAGACTCGCTCACGTCCTGGTGAATGCATTATAGAACAGGTAGCGTATAAGAACTTGATAGCCTACCAAACTCTTCCGCCAAACCCTGCCGACGTTATATTGATGAAATTGTAGCGCTGGTGAAAACAAACAGGCGCTTACCATGGTACACCTGAACACTCCGCCAAAAGCGACATCTTCACCAAAGACGATAGCTGTATCGTCTTTAGAAAGGGTAATGCTGAACTCAAACCTAAGTCATCATTACGATGTCCCAATCGAGGCCACATACCCCATTGCATCCCTGACGGCTTGATAGACGTTCATTTTGCGCGTCTCACGACCACCTATCGTGTTTTGCAACGGGGAACTTCCACCTTCATCTAGCCACTTAATACCAGGTGTGCGTAGGGCTGCCTCGCGTGTACCACGAAGGATTTTAGAAGTAGCAATAGATGGAAGATGACCACCGGCAGGCGGAGGTTCCGCTCCGGTCGACTCCCAGCGTCGTGCGCCAAACGAAAACTGTTCAATTTTGGCGGTGATAGTTTTGCTTTTAAAACAGTGAAAATGAAAATGAGAATGAAAAATATTGTACGCACAGTTAAGGGGCTCAGACGTCTGACTGCACGCACAGCTGGGGCGATGGAGTGGGTAGTCATAGTAGGGATGGTCACGGTGGTTTGAGAGGATGAGTATATGTATGATCATGATCCGAGACCGGGACTTCTCTCATTCCTCATTCCGCACTGGGTGAAATCCCGAGGACGTGACCGGCCAGCCAGACTTGGAGCGACGGTGACAATTCTCAAAGTAAATAGCTCGACAGCTTCGTAGCCGCGCGCTCCAAGCTTCCGTTGAGCTGATGATGGAGAACGAGCTCACTTTCGTCGCACCCGAAGGCGTTTACTCTGTTACAGAGGATCACAAACCAATCCCTGTCATTCACAATGCGCCCGTTCCAACGTACCCAACACGCTTATCTACCATCACGGTGCGCTTCCCTGCAACAAAGCAACCGGCCATGCCAGGTCTTGGCCAACTTCTAGGGGGTGGAAAGGACTTCTGGAAAGAGAAAGGCCTTGCGCCGACCTCCGCAAAGGAGGATGGTGTCAGCGTTTCAAGTGGTGAGACGCCCGAGGAGGCTACCTCACCCGACGTTGGAAGTCCACAGGATGTGACCCCATCAACATCGATTGGCGTGCCCGACCAAAATCATGGGCTCTTTAGCCCACCCGCGGGTGGCAAGCGTAGGGCACTATCGCGTCCAAAACATAACATGCGTACAACATCTTCAACATTCATCACCCGAGTGCAGTGTATAGAAGGTCTTGCCAAGACGCTGCAAGCCAAGCAAGGAGAAGTGACCTATCTGTTCTACAACTCCGCGAAGAACATCTATTGGGTGGAGGCCGGTGTCAAAGCTAAGGTAAGCGCATTGCGCAAGTCCCACCTCTTTCGATGAGCTGAACTCTCTTCCTCATAGGAAACCCTGGCTCGAGTTGCGTTCGCTGCCCATCCAACATGTCACGACGTGAATCATTCCACTGCTTCTCATGAGCATATGGACCTGATCATCGGATTCCAAACTGGCGATCTCATTTGGCTAGGTAACATTTTGTTTTGTCTGCTATTGTCTCATATTGGTCGCAAATCTCACGATGACCGTAGACCCAATCACATTACGATACGGTCGTTTGAACAAGCAGGTAAGACCATCGACGAGGTTTATTCGCAGCTCGGTGAAACGGCCATGCATCGCAGGGTCGTATATCCAACTCACCCTGTACGGCTGTACGATGGGTCCCATCCTCTCCAAACCTTTTCCTCGTGTCGCATGCGGATGGGACGATAATTGTTTATGACAAAGACCGTGATGATGGCGTATTTACCGCACAAGCTCCAACCGCTTCCCAACCGTCCCCTTCGCGCCCACTATCAAATGATCTGATCCCCCCTTCCACCGAAGGGAGTCCCTCGGCGGGGGAGTGGAACCCATTAGATAGCATCTTCGTCACGATGCCCCCTTGGCATCCTGTGAATGGAGCCGGGGCATCCGGAGGTGGTGGAAGAGGTGACAAGGATAAGGCTGCCAAGAATCCTGTGAGCCATTGGAAGGTGTCGAAGCGGAGTGTCGTCGGTAAGTTCACTCATCATAATCGACAAGGAAAGTTAAGAATAAGATTTGATTTACGTAGACTTCGTCTTCTCACCCGATGTCAAGTATGTTGCAGCTATATCTGAGGACGGATGTCTACGCGTGATAGACGCGTTAGCAGAACAGTATGCACTCTTCCTTCTTCCTGCTTCTTATGTCAGGTTGTTTTATGGATGGTCGATCTTCAGACTTGTGGATTGCTATGCGGCTTATTTTGGCTCACTGACGTGTGTGGCATGGTCACCGGACGGCCGTTTCATTATTGTGAGTTCACGTCAAGTCGTTGGTGGATCTGCTTCTCTGATTATTTCTCTCATAAGACGGGCGGCCAAGATGACATGGTGAATATCTTCTCGCCATGGGAGCAGCGCGTCATTGCTCGCTGTCAAGGGCATTCATCCTTCCTGTCTGGACTTGCCTTTGATGACCTCCGATGTGATGGGAGAGCGTACCGCTTTGGCAGCGTTGGGGAGGATAACAAACTCATCCTTGTAGGTTCACCACATCCTTGCCGATTAGGCACTAACTTGACGTGCCTTAGTGGGACTTTTCGAGTGGAATATTACATCGTCCAAAGTTACACTCACACCATCATCGCCTCTCTATGGCCTCGACTCTCTCTCTTGCAGCGCGTCGGCGCGGTGACACACTTACGGCAGACCGCTCAACACTCCATCTGCAGCCACTCGGCGCAGAAGGCCCACTTCCGCGGTATCACCCTGCGCCATCCCGCAACGAGGTTGCGATCGTGCAGCCGGTTCTCGTCAAGCAACTCGAGAACGACATCTTGACTGCCATCACTTTCCTCCCACGCTGGTTACTAACCGGTACTAGGGTCGGTCACGTGAAGTTATGGATTCGCCCATTGCCGGCAACATCGCGGAAGAATGGACATGCGTCACGCACCGCTACAGATGCGCAGGACATCGACTGGGTCAGTTGAACGGGGCATTGGAACGCGTTTTCTTTATAAAGCTTCTTTTTTCGATTGAGAACGAGTGGGCAATCGAGGGAAAATCTAATGTATGGCATAATTTATTATCAAGACACTAGGGGACAACCACGTTGAGTGCTCATAAAACTTCAGTAGTCATTTGTTAGATTAAGTGCGCGAATATTAAGGGCTCAGTTCGGTGGCAGTGGCACAAAAGTTTGAATTTAATTCTACATTTCATCTCCGACCGGATTTCCCTGCGCATGATCCTACTTCCCATTAAGAGAAATGAGAAGTATAGTGACTTGGTCGTTGGTTCCGCCTCAATAAAAAGTGTATCTTGTAGTTGGAGTTTGAAGTGCTTGGAGTTTGTTTGGTGACGTCGATTTGCTGTGCTGTGCTGCGTATGTATATCTTTATTTATCTTTTTATTTTTTTATTATATTTAATTTAAAAAAACAAAACCAAAGACGGGCCAGCATCTAGCTTGGCTGGCTGGCTGGCTGGCTGGCTGGCTGGCTGGCTGGCTTATACCGGCATAGGCATAGATTTCATTTTCATTTTCATTTTTCTTTCTACGCGCCCATAAGCTCGACGCCCAATACCCAACCACCAAGAAACCCTTAATTTCCTTGATTCAGGTTGGAAAATTGGCCGAAGAACACTTCATTTCCGTCTACAAGTTGAACATTTCAGTTGTTATTATGTAGTGCCCCTATCTTGAGATGCATCAATGTGATAACTTGCACCGTCACCCTCATCATCTTTACTCTCCCATC